TTTTGCAATATATGGAAAAGCAAAACCCTCAAAAAATAAGGGGCCTACATTTCTGAGAAGCTAGAAAACATCAGAAGAAGACTTATAAGTATGTATTTATTAAAAAACAATTAAAACACTCTGTAATGGTAGTGTGTGAAAGTCCTTGGGAGATGGACAAAGAGATGCTGCCTAGCCCAAAACAACGATCAGATGAGAAACAGTACAGGCTGCCGACTAATACTGGGGGGGAAAGAGGCTCAGAAGGGACCCTCCCTAGTTTCTCCAGTGGTAAAGATGGGTGAAGAATTGCACTTTCAGACATGCAACATTTGTCAAGGCAGCTTCACAACAAAGTAAAAATAGCTCATTTGGTCATGTTTCCTGACTGGTTTGCCCCACAAGGCTGACATTTTGTAATCTTACTATCATAAAGCTTATGATAAAATCCTGCAAGATCACATCAGCCTAAATAGTCCATTCATTGTCATTGGACCACAATGGGCATTTTGGAAAATGATAATCCTGGACTCCATACCTGTCCATCAGAGGAGAAAACCCAGGATTTGGGGATGTTCCTTTTCCCACAAAGGTTTTGCCCTTGTCCATATTGCCCTTGCTCATCTCAGTCCTTCTCACCTGAATTTTTGCCAGCTAGCTTGTTCATCAGGTAGGACTTGCCCGTGCGATACAGTCCCACGATGGACACCACCACCACCGGCTGCCGGATGTCTGAGAGCAACTGAAAGGCCTCCGGAGAAACATGGAGGCGATTTTTCCTGTTCTCAATCAGGCACACCGGAGCTTCCATCCTGGCTTTGGAGGAGGAGATGCAGCTGCAAAGAAGATGTGGCAGCTGCAGAAACTTTCTTCCCAAAGGACTATAAAAGACCCTCCCCCAAGTTCATGACCTGTGACATCAAGCCCATCCCAGGTCAGTGAGTACATGGGCTTTGTAATCCCAGATCCCTTCTCAAGCCAGGAAGCCAGTCTCCAGAACTAACCCAGCTCCCAGTAGCAGATCCAGTCCAAAGGGAGTGATGCATGGGTCCCCCACGTCCCTGAACTGAAATGGGATCACCATCCCCCAACTTCCCCAGAGCCCCGCACAGCCTCTGATCACTGCCCACCCAGGTCCGATATGGTCCCCAATGGTTCTCTGGCCAGCCTTTCATTCCCTCCCATCCCCGTTTCCAGGGGCCGTCTCTGCTTCCCGGATCCCCTGTAACTGCTTGACCAGAAAGGAGACCCATCTAGCTGCTCCCGAGGATTCCAAGTCCAGAAAGCTCCTGCCGCTGCAGAGAAGGACCGAAGCCCAGAGGGGAGGTTGGGAAAAGCAGATGCCCCCCTCAGTCGATCCCCCTTTTACCGTCTTTCCAAAGAAATCAATGGATCGCTCGACAACTCTCTTGGCAGCCCTCCGTGATCTTTTTCTTCCTGCGCTCCTCTCACGGATTTTTTACAGCAGCAGCAGCAGCCAAAAGCGGCCAATTCCTCCTAAACAAAGAGCAAACTCCACTCCCTCAATGTCAATAATGTATTTATTCATTATAAATATAATACATTCCCCACCCGGCCTCCAAGAAATGAATCACTACATGTTGGTGACCCTCTAATCTGAAGACTTCTCAGCTCAGCTGAAAGGAACCAACTGGATTCAGAGTTATGGACAGAAAACATAAATCTCTTGGGGGGGGGGGAATTTTCAGGTTGACTATTATCTGATCATGCTCTGTTTCTTATCAATTTCAGCTGTTACTAGGTGGTACAGTCATTAAGCGAGGCAGCATATGATTATAGTGAATTATGATGTCAGCTCTGGCTGCAATCATTAAGTGAATCACTGCAGGTTATTAAGCTTATCTTCCTACTGGCTTCTCCAATGACTTTTACTTATCGGACATTGGCTGTGAAGGTTGCAAATGGCAATTGCGTTACTTTAGGATGCTGTAAAAGTTGGAAATATATGTGCAAATCACAATCATGGGACCATGGTGAGGCTGTGATGGTCACAATGTCAAGGACCAGTTATGTATCTTCTTTTCCTGTGATGTAATTCTAAGTAATTGCAGAATAGGTAATTGGTAAACAAGGGCTACCTGTAGTGTTTGAAATGCTGCCTTCATTCTTCAAGACTTTGGTTAAGGACCTATGCGATAACTCTGGAAGTGCTATGAACTATTGTGACTAGTTCTGTTCCTCATTGCTGTTTCACAGCAGATCCTCCTGACCATAGAAACCTTTAGGGTGCTCCCTCTTTCACCGATTCTATAATTTGCTTTCTTTACATAGTCCCATTGACTTATCCATGGGAAAAAATATGTTTCAACCTCATCAAAATGACTTAAAGTGGAGAGGATGAGACAAAATAAGAAAGACATACTTGTGATACACTAGTCCTAAATCCAATGGTTTTCAGTTTTGGAAGTTTACTTGTTTGTTAACATACTACTACAAAATCTTTCTGAGATTATAGTGTTACCTTCAGTGTCCTTTGGATCATTTTCTCCTGCTCTTCCAGGATCTGTTTCCTTTCTTCCTCCAATTTCTCCATTAGCTTCTGAAGGGTCATCTCATAACTCTGTTTCTGGTCCTCAAACTTCTGTTGCCACATTTCCTGTTTCTGCTTCGGAACTTCATCCTCTAATTCTTTTGTTTTCATCTTTGCATCTAAACAAGGGAAAAAGAGAGAGAGACATCGGCAGGTGGTTTGCAAGTTGGCTACACTATTACAATAATGTAATAAATAAGTATATTTGGCATACAGGCAATCTTTGATTAATTATACTAACTAGGACCAGAATCTTCATCACTTGGCTACTCAGTCATAAAATACAACATCATGCGACTGTGCTGTTTAATGACAGCAGTTCTAGCATGTCTGGTGGACATAATTAAGCTAATCCTGCATCATCTTGTGATGATGTCACATGGTCTCCATTTCAACCTCCTGCTGGC